TTGCACAGATTTAATATCAGACAAGATTTTGGAATTAATAAGATCATATACAAAATCTATAAAGGACATATCTTTAAATTTTTTAAAAATGAAATGGTGATAAAATGATTTTTTATTAGTCCCTATGAACATATTATAAAAGACTCGTGTTGCAGAAGACTCTTCATTCATTTCCAATATATCAAAAATAATTGTTGATGTCAAAATATATCGACTTTTCAATTCATTCCAATTTTTGGAATTGATTTTAATTAAATTATCAATTTGACCTTCTATATTGGGATACTTTGAACGAATCCTTTCTAAATCTAAATTAATTAAAACATAAACTGATTAGGTAAAAGATAATTAAATAATCTTTAATAACAATATATATACTTAACCTATATCGCTTATTTCACTTTCATTTGGTAAATTTTTCTCAAAAGGACTGTAAAAATATGATTAATTTCTTTTTTTTTTTTAAAAAAAAAATTTAAATATATATACCTATAAATATCACTTAATTTTTTCCATGCTAAACTTGAAATTATTTTACTATCATTTTTTATAGTTTCAGCTTCTCGGTTCTTTTTTTCATTAATTTGCGATTTTGCAATTTGTATTTCATTACGAAATGGTCCCAAAAGTTCATCTTCCATTTTTAATCCATGTGTAATAAAGATTTTTAATGAATTCATGGTCATTCTTTCACGATCAATATATAATCGTCGTCCTTGTAATCTGGACTGAAATTCTTGTGACATTTTAGATCCTAAAACAACTATATTGAATTCCCGCAAACGATAAGTTTCCTTTATTAATCTACGAGTAATAAACGATTGATTTGTAGTGGATTCAACAACTAATAATAAAATAATAATCAAATTGAATAAGAATATGTAAATCAACAATAGCTATACATTTTTTTAAAGAAAGTAAAAAATAATTATTACTAATAGGATGCAAAGGTATATCATCTTCTTGAGTATTTTTTATTTCTGCTTTTATTTTATCGGTTAAATTCACCTTTAGAATTGATATTTGAAAAATAGATATTTTTTCAAAAGTAATTAATACTTTATAATTATATACTGTATAAATTTAAATACAAACCTTAAAGCCGGAATATATTTTAAAGTCCTCCTGTTCTTCCTGACTTTTTTTGATTTCAAATTCATGAAACTCTTTATCATCGTCTGAATCATCATCATTATTGTATAAATTCCAATCGAATCTTTCTAAATCATCTTCACTCATAAGACAAAGCTGATGATCAGTAACCTTTGTCAAATATCTATTTTATAAAAATATATATTGAATTAAATTTAAATTAGAAATTTATTGAATTGAATCAGTAGATAATACCTATGCAGGTTAGTCATATTCTTTTTATATTGCGAAGAGGCATTTTCCTCGTAACATCCAACTTCAGGCCAATGAATAACTAATCCAAAATCTAGATTTACAACAAGTAAGTAAATGCCAGGACGTAAAAAAGGTTTATTTGAGTCGTTGTTATGAGGATGTGAGTCTATAAGCAAGTCATATCTAAATTCAAAGAACAAGATTAAAAATTTAATTAGATTATTTAAATAATCTTTAATCACTAAAACTTTACATACGTTTGTTGATTAATAATCTCTAAATTCAACAAAAGTTTTGTAATTAAATTACGATTCCCATAACATCCAATAAGGCGAATTGAAATTGAGTTCAATTTTGTATAATTGATTTCAGAAATAGACTTAAAACTTGATGGAGCCATATCATCGCATAGTTTCTTTAGAAAATCCTTGGAGATAATTGTTTTAT